CGCTCACGGAGCTATCATTGGCGGCGTCGTAAGTTTTTCTTATAAAATGCATATTTCCGCAAATTTTCAATGAATCGATCTGAAAATTTCCAGAAATCTTCCTTCAATAGTGAGGAACAAATGTCTCATTGGAAATTGTTTCAAATTTCAAGTTCCCTCGATACTTTTTATCGGCAAAACCAAAAAAACGTGGTTACCGATTGGCCTCAATTTGCAATTAATTATTATTAAACAATAGGCGATTTTCAGCTTCTTTATTGTTTTGTAGGCATCGCTAGACTATATTGCACGCATATACCAAATTTCAAACAATTTCAACAAAATTTGGCCAAATTACGACGATTTATATCTTAAAATCTTATTGAATTTGAAGATAAAAATTTTTGTTTTTTATTTTTATTATTAAAAATAAGCATTGAACAAAAAAACTGCAGATAGAAAAAAAGTTTCGTTTCGTCATTCTCTACAAACCTATATTAAAAAAAAATTAATTTTGCGACTTTCAAAATTTTTATGCTCTGAGACGTTTAGACAATATTTTTACACGATTTCGAGCGCAGAGCGAGTTCTTTGATCCGCGCCCTCAATTGCAAACCGGTAGAGGACTTTTCTACTCGGTTTAACCCGCTCTACCTGCTCTCGAGAGGTGATTCAGCAATTTTCGAACACCCTGTGTGTATATATATATATATATATATACACACACGTACACATTTCAAACATTTATTATTCGCCAATTTGATACTGCATTTATACGTGAATAACCATTAAATTTACCACAGCCAAAAGTTGAGGACATGGACAACATGACAGCCGATAAAAATTATAAATAAAAGAAGCGAACTTTAGAGACAGAGACAGATTTACTGAGTGTTTTCTTGCCGAAACTCGATTCGTTAAAATTCTTTTATTCGAGAAGATACATCTGTGATTGTGCCAGTAATTATGAAAGTGGACTAAGTAAAAAATCTTGAAACATTGAACTTATCATTTTATATTATATCGATCTACATTATAATAATATGGAAATATTTTTTAAAAAATTGATTGAAAAAATTGAACCGCTTAATGGCGTTGGTAATTGTGTTATTAAACAGAATTCAGTTTATGTTTATTTTAACAATGGTCTAAGTCACTTGCTCTTTGGTAAACTTTTATTTTGTGAAAAAAAAAATACTTATTTTTCCATTATGTCATTAGATAGCTTCATGTAAATAAATTTTATATAATAATATAAAATGATATTACGAATATATTTTAAAGCTTTCGAGATTTCAGAAATTAGAAATCTTACTATCGAAGAAAAAAAAAGAAAACTAGAATATTGATGAAAACATAATTAAATTATAAAGTGTGAATGGATGTTTGTCTTCAATTTGTGAATAATATTCAATATTTTTTTGTATCAAGTCATTTTTTTAATTTATCATTAATTTTAGAAACAATCTGATTCTTCTTACAAGTTACTCATAAAATTTCATCATCACTGAAAATATTTATTTAAATGTAAATTTGCGAAAAATATTTTGTTATCTGATAATACAAACGCAAAAATATATGATTTCGCCCACTTTCGGCACAATTATATCAATATAGTAAAATAATATTTTAATCCTTCCAATCTGTTTTCCATCTATGATTGAAAAATAGCTCGGTAAATCTGGAAGATATTCCTAAACACCGCATTTTTGTACGTACTTTATGGACCCAACAATCTCGTGAAGATTGGATCGGAATGTTTCATAGACGTAAAAGATAGTGGACGATGATGTTTACCTTAGCATGTGCAGAGCAGGATGTAGTATTGAATGGATGTAGTAATGGATGATGAAATTGAACAGGCACCGTGGGAATCGTAGATTTGAAAAGTGGTGCAGTTTGCAAATAGGTAGGCATGAACACCTTGCTTGTATCGAAAGGATCGTCTTCGTTCACTTCGTTAAGAAAGTTTGACGTTTTAAATGGTCTATCAAATGGCTCCTGTGTACTCAGTGTTGAATCGGTATGTGCAAAGATATTGTTAGAATTAAACTTTTTGTTGTACGAAGAAAGGTTCTCTTTAGATTTAACATTCTCATTTTCATGATTGCACGATGATGAATTAATAACAGGTTTCGTTAAATCGTTATGTACATGTAATTCGCGTAAAAATTGATTTGGCTCGATACTTTGATTGTGTGACGTGGGTGGTGTAAGTAAGAATGACGTTTTATCTACTTCTTTTACAATTCCATTTGCAGTTACTGAATTAAAAGTAGACACTTTTGATTGATTAAATGAATTATTTACAGGAAGGGGATGAAAGGAGGAGGACAAAATTGGCTTTGCCGAGGAAACTTCGCGTGGATTTGTAATGACAGTACTAGGTGGAGGGCCGTGCCGTAAATGCCCACTCCATGCAGGTCTCAAGCTGTCTAAACTGCGTACTGGTTTCAACTGAAAGTGATGCATGACACATTTTTACTTTTCCTTCTTTACGACAAATTAATTGCTACGAATGATAAAATGTCTAAATTTTATTCAAGCTAAATTGAATATATTAAAGTGCAGCAACATACATTTATCAATCTTCAATATGTGACACATGCACATAATGACAGATAAGTTTACTTATTATCAGGCAGAAAATAATGATATTGTGCTATTATATTGAATAATACAGAGATGGTGCGTAAAACAATTAATATTTGTAAAATAGTTTACATTAGTGCTATCAACTTAATCTATTTCACTATTTTATCAAATCATAAGTATTTCAACAGACTTATATTCTAGTAGCTGAAAGAATGTTGGAGAGTAATGTTGATGGAAATATTTAGAGAGATGAGGATGATTACAAGCATGCAGAATATTTTCTTACGGACTAGATATTTTTGTGTATGTAATGAGAATATGCTATGCATGACTATTTTCTTTCTTGTAACATATAAGACATAACAGAGACAAAGTCCACTGCTTGACATCAATAAACAATTCACAAAAAGCAAGAAAAGTTTACATTTACTGATACACAGCAAATTAATAATTATGAACAAATTAGCATTTGTCAAATTTGTTTCATATTGTATTCATATTTATATCAAATAATCTCTCTGCAATAAAAATTTAAAGTGTAAAAATTATCAAAAATGAAACAAATAATAGTTATCTTATTATTTTTGCAAATCATCGTTTTTGACAATCTATGGAAATCATAAATAAATAAATAAATAAATAAATAAATATATATATATATATATTACATAAACTATGGACTTACCGTCCTATCCACAGGTGGTGTATTTGGAAATATCACATCCCGAAGTTCGTGCATGAGATCTATATTTATACGCTCTGGTGGAGAATCCGATTCTTCGGGAGAACTGGGGCTTAAAGGTGAGTATTGTTTCCTACTATAATACACAACAAAAATTTCTATTACGATTTGATTTTGTAATAAATACTTTTGCAACATACAAAAAACATTTATGTAATATATAAGTGAGGTATATTAATTCACAGGGAGAAACAATCCATACATAAGTGATTGCTTACCTTGTGTCAGTAAAATTGCTGTTTCGCAGACGCAATTCTTTTCGATAACTGGTTGTCGCTGACACCCCGTTTGGAGATTTTGGTGGAGATGTAAATCCTACAGTTCTTCTGTCTGATGTGGGTGAACTAGGTGCTGATCGTGGCTGATGAAATCTCATACTCGTGTCACTTCTATTAGAGCGTCCTATTAATGTTGAGTAATTATTTATACATTAATATTAAATATTCAATAGAGATAAAAATATAATTTAAGGAAAAGGCACCTTTCCATTTCAGTCCTTTGTATGCCGTTTTCATATCTTTGCCTTTGTCTTTCACCTGTGCATACCAATCTTTATAGCATACTTTAACCGTTAATATTAATTATTATATCATACAAGTGATGAAAACAATAACATTATAACTAAATAAAGAAAATGCCAAAGAAATAAAAAACATATATTCATAAATAACATAGATTAAAACTTACTGATTTGACAGCATATTTTACTGCTGGATTTGCCTGCAATCAAAAGATATCAGGAGAATAAAAAAAACAAATATTTTTTTACACAGCTAATATTAAACATAAACTCTCAGAATGAGCCATATGATATTTAAATTAATTCATACAACATTCACATTACTTTATCTTTTACGCTACGAAAAAATGCAGAGCTTTCTTTTCGCATAGTGTAAGTCCATTCTCTGTACTGCTGCATGAATTTGCTGCTTGATTTGGCCGAATAACTGCATGCTTCCATTTCAAACTCATCCGAGAAACCAAGTCCTGAATTGAGCATGTTCAATCTTTCTTCTATAAACTGGAAATTTTATGGAATATATTTGTATCAATTGTTATAGCAGTGTTACAATCATGCTACATGTGTAATACACTTACTTGTTGGAAAATTTGTAATTCCAACATTTTTCGTAGAAAGGGTTGCATAGAAGATGGCCTACTTTCAACAAAGGCATTTTGATTGAATGTAATACGTTCACCCTGCTGTAAAGTTAGCGCTTCTCTGTAGCCAGCAGTTAACTGTACTAATGCACGCAAGAATGCTCTCGACACGCCATCTCCGAGAAGAGCTGGCTTATTACGTAATGCTTTTTTCAAATTTATCACCTGCAACACGGAAACTTTTTATTTTATTATTTAAGATGTATATTAATCCTTAAAAGTACATTATTTTATTGTCTCATAGCAGTATGTTGCTTTACGCACTACATCTTGAGGCAAAGACTCCAGATCTTTGAATGGTGATTCAATCGTACTATTATCAGCATCTAAAATAACAACCTCTCCTAAATCACTCTTGGGTACTTTCTGCAAAGAATATGAAACAATATGTATTATAGAATAATATATTCTTGTAAATAGTGTGGTCGTGTATACCTGAAGCGTTGCTGTAGGCACCCCAATCAAAAATGGCATAGGTGCTAATAAATAATCTATTAATGATAAAGGCAGAACAGGGATATATATGTGTTGCCAAATCATTGGATAAATTAAGGCATTGCATGCTTGCACGCACGCACTTAGTCTCGACAGACGTTTCGAAATGAAAATAATACGACGTTCATATAACATAGACGCAAATATTATCATCATATGGTGTGAGTCAATAGCGTTATAATATTCAGTCAGATTCCTCTGAAACCATAAGATTATTATTTAGGGACTAGATAATAAATTTGATGCTTTAAATAGAATAAGTTCTTTCAGCATATTTAAATATGTGCCAGTAATATTACTTACATTTTCTGGGATACCAGGCAACTGAAATTGCTTTGGGCTTTGACAAATAAAACTCTGAAAATAATAAAATATTGAAAATATTAATATATTGAAAAACATGTGCACATAAAAAAAATTTTAGAAAAAACAATGTCTAAAAAATATATATTATTAACAAATTTATCACATTTATTGTATACTTAAGCAACAATTAATTTACCACTGTAGAAGAATTTGGTAACGGAATAGATATGGAATTTCCAGGAATAGGAACTCCACAAGTGTATATATTTTCAAGAAACTGCCACAGATCTTCTCCACTGGCATTGCTGGTCAAGGATGCAATGTGATCCAACAACCTGCAATGCAAGTGTAGTTTAATACTTTGTGATTCTTAGTATATGAACATTTAACTAATATGCTTTACTGACTTGTAAAATATTTCATGCCATGGAAGCGCGCTCAAAACCACTAAAGCTGTTTTTGTCTTGGGATCGTGACGGCAAAATCCAAAGGTCCATTTTGAATCTATGCTAGTGAGCACAAATGAAAAGTGTTGCACCAACAAACTGAAACAATAATGAATTTAATTAAAAATATGCAATTAAAAATGTTGTGAGAAAAAGAAGATAAAAAATATGAAAGCCTGTAAATGCACAATATTTTATGTTTACATACTTTTCAAATTCACAAGGATATGCAAATTTTGGAACTGATTTAAGTATCTCTTCATCGGAAAAGGAATTGGGATATTTTTGAAGTATCCAAGCTGCCTTTTCTCCCACTGGTGCAGCTACCTCGCAGAAGCACTCAAAGAGTTGTCTGACATTTTCTCTGCAAATATTACAGACCAATATTAACATAAACTCGAATAAAGTATAACTTTCAAGTTACTTTCAACTTTAATTTATTAATTGTATTGCAATATGTATGTGAGATTTTTACATTTTTTCTGGAATATTTTACAGAGGTCCAGAATTATTAAAAAAATATAAAATATTGTTTTGTTAAGGAAAACAAACACTATATGGTGAAATCATCCAAGTGTGTACACAAAGAGAAATATGCTCTCATTAAATTGTACTACAGAAGAATCGGTAATTCTATATATAAGAGAAATAGACTCACCTCAATCGAGATCCCATGATAACAGCTTAAAAAAAAAATAAGTACTTTGTATGCTCTTGACATCTATACGTCATCGTATTGTGTGACAGTAATGTATTCCGTTCACGTGAATTTCAAAAACGTCATAGCTGCATGTCGTCAACACTCCGTCGCGCTTTCACCAGTTGTCGTCGCGTTTGCAGATTTCGTTTCTCGATCTTACTTACCGCCTTCGACGCAAGAAACTGTTTGGGACAATCACCATCTACTGCACGAGATAAAATCGGAAGAGGCACGTATCTATCACGCGTCTCATTGAAATCAGAACGAATCGGAATGACATAGGTCACGTAGCGATGCTCTTAAGATCCATTTCTATTTGTGTCAAACTATTGCAATAAGTCTATTCGTTTTTAGTTGCACCTTCTCGCACTGTTTGCACTTAAAATAAGATAAATATACATTTTCCATTTTAGAGGGAGAAAGAAACGGTATCGCAGAAGGTAGAACTGAAACGAACGCACCTCGTACATCTATGTGTGCAATTAGATAATCATGAATTTGTTTTATTCAAAAGATTTTAATTTAGTTTTTTAATTAAAAATTTTAATGGAAAGAGATACTTGGAAGAAAATGCTCTCAGCGAAATTATTTTAATAATAATTCCTGAATAAAATATCTTTTATCTTATTTATACTATCTAAATCTTGCAAATAATGTTGCAAAATACACTCGAGGGAAATTCAAAATTTTGTGAAAGATAAATTCTTTTATAAAAAGTTAAGGAGTATTACTAGAAGTAAAAATTGCAGGACATATATCGTAAGAGGTGATTTATTAAATACATGTGATATACATGTGTATACATATTTACTATAAACATCTTTGACACTCTTCTTATTTCCCCTAAAACGTGGTCATCGTATATTCCGCAACACAGCGCAGCTGCATTATTTATTACATAAATACACGTATGTACACATGATCGCTAATAAAGGCAGTTTTGCTAGGTGATAAATAAATTCAAATCGAGAAATCGATTTGTTCACAGAAACATTCTAATTTTATAAAATTAAAGGATTGAACCTGAATTATTTGTGAACTTTGATTGTGCTGAATTTAAACATCAGTCTTCTCATTCGTATTTAATGAAAAAAACAACATATTATATAATTTTTTTAAAAACTTGAAAAAACATCAATGAATATTTTACAAATTTGAGTCAATACAGAAGCAATCCTGGCAATAATCCATAAATACCACGTATCGTTTCTTAAGTGTCCCTTTTATTGCAGATCGTCTATTTCCACCTGAGATAATATTTCTAAAACAAAAAATATAATACATCTCAAAATTTGAGTTGAGAAAGTTAAAAAAAAAAGTTGGAAGCGTTAAAACTTTACGTAAAAATACAGAAAGTATTGTGTTTCACAAACAAGTCAGTAATTTTTCATTCGCAAACAATATTTATATGCTATTTAAATCCTCAATTGATAAATCAACGACGGTTTAACTCACTACAGAAGCATCGTTGTCGGATTTTCCATCAAATCTTTAAAAGCAGCTAACCATTGTGCGCCTATCGCACCATCGACGGTACGATGATCACAGCTGGCAGTTACAGACATATATTGGGCAGTCGTAAACCTGTAGAAATAAATTCACGTGTTAACATTTGCATGTCATATGCATAGCGAAATCATCTTGCAAGAAAAAATCGGACGTTGCAAAGATTTACCCTTTATCATTTTTGGCAGGTACCAGTCTAGCCTCTGTAGTGCCCACAGCGAGAATAATTGATTGCGGAGGATTTATTATGGCAGAGAAATTCTTGATTCCAAACATGCCCAAATTCGAGAGAGTAATTGTTCCTCCTTGAAATTCGTGTGGCTGCAGCTTTCCTTCCCTCGCCTTCGCGGCTAATGCCTTCACGTCTTTACTAATTTGAACTATGCCTTTTGTGTCGGCGCCGAACAGTATCGGGGTAATTAAGCCACTATCTGTGCTTACTGCTACACTAACATCCACATTGTTGTATCTGAAAAAAGGGACACAAAAATTTGTTTAGATATATCACTAGTCATCACTTACGATAACAAAAAAAAAATATAATAATGTACTCACTGTCTAATTACATTTCCTAACCACGCGCTGTTGCCCTCTGGTACTTTTTTACAAGCCATAGCCATTCCTTTAATAATAATGTCATTTACGCTCAACTTTATTTTATCTTTTTCTAACAATTTATTGAATTGTTCTCTCATTGCCAACGCAGCGTCCATTTTTATGTCCACTGAGAGATAATAATGCGGAATTGTCTGCTTGCTCTCTAACAAGCGTTTGGCAATAACCGCACGTATATTTGATACAGGAATGTCTATTCCGCCTGGTGCACCAACTGCTGCTATTCCTGGTTGTACTGCCCCTGCTACAACAGCACTCTCCAGATCTTTGGACGTTATCGAGCCGTATAATCCTGTTCCTTTTAGACTCTAGAAAGAATTGAATAAAAAGCACACATTTTATTTTTATAATTTGCAAAAATTGATTGAATGGATTAATTTGATAATAAAGTGATACATATTAATCAACAATTAAAAATCATTATTAAAGCTTGATAATTAAATTAAATAATGGAGGAAATCGGCTCGTATTTGCCATCTTTTGTTTACTTTGATTTACAAATCAACAATCTTGTAGCACCTGTAAATTGAGTCCTTTTTCAGCTGCTAATCTTCTCGCTAATGGACTAGCATATATCCTATCTCCAGAAGGCGCTGGAATAGAAGGAACTTTTGCCGGAGTTGGTGCAGCTGATAGTGCTGCAGAAGACTGTGGTGGTACGGATGGTATAGGAGCAGCTGGTGGAGGTGCCACAGGAGGTGGAGCAGCCGCAGCTGCATCATCTTTAAAGTCTTTAAACGCAGCGATACTAGGCTCATCTGACACAATAATGCAAACCAATTTGCCTATGGGTACGTTCTTTGTTCCTGCAGGTACCAGGATCTTGGCCAGATAACCTTCTTCAGGAGTTTCAAATGCCATTGTGGCTTTATCTGTCTCAATCTCTGCTAGCAAATCACCTTCGTTCAACTTGTCACCTAATGAATTCAATATAATTCATTATTAATTCAATATTCAAGTTTATTTATGCTTAACAAATAGCCTTAAACTTTTATAAAAATTATAGAATTATATCTATCATATCTAATGTTATAATCAATCTTACCTTCCTTTTTTTGCCAACTGATTATTGTTCCTGTTTCCATAGTAGGAGACAATGCTGGAAGAGGGACTTTGATATGATCTGGATAATCCGCATAGAGTCTGACCTGTTGCTGCCATGGTGTCCATATAAAACGTAACGCACTATGATGCTGAATCCTGAGAATATCAAAAAACGCAACATTACTTTATTGTCATGTTTCTTCGCACATAGTGAATGATGGTTGTATAAACTGTTCAATTCTTCAATTATCTTAGCAAGGATAAAATTGCAAATAATTGTATTGTAATTCTCTGTGTTAGACCACATTGGAGTTAATGTGAAATAACCTTAAAAAGTGTCTCTGATCGTGCAATTTAAATGATCCACAACAAAATTTAAACACGGGAATGATTTTAGGACGTGGATGAAATACCTCTGCTGATGTTTTCTGTGAAGACATCGGATGACTATGGATCTGACGATGTTGGTTCGCGCGGAACCACGAACGATTGCGCGTGCCAACCCGTTACGTAGGCTCGACGTGGTCCGTATCATAACTGTCGGGATTTTCGATGATGCCGCGTGTCAATTTAAAATCCTCGACGAGAGCCTTAATTTACCCGCGTGATGACGACGACGACGACGACGACGACAACGACGACGATGATCTGTCTGTCAATAATCTGGATCTATGAAACAGGACTAGATGACGGACGATGTTAAATGCCAACCAGAGGTCGTCGGCAAGGTCACGTGGTTTTTCGCACGAAAAGTGCAGTTTGTGTTAGGAGACTACAATGAATACGAGCCGAAAATTGTTTCAACTACTGGTCACAGCATAGATTAATCTGATTGTGAGAAAAACAATGCAGATTGCACAAACAAATTGTGAATCTGTCGATGTCGCTTCGATAATGGAAACTTCGATAACAGAATCGTACGAACATACGAATCAAATATACGATGTTAAAAAAATTATGACTTTGATAACAAACTTGGATTAAAAAGGAAGATTTTATGTA